GACAAATGTGGCTTAACTAAAAAGGATCGCTAATTTACTTTTGAGCAGAGGTGAGCTTTAGATGAAATCTTCTCATAAAGAATTTATGATCCTCTTTTCTTTTCATAATTCCTAGTCTCTTGTCATCAGTGAGAAGTAGACCTGAAATCCTAGCACCAGATTTATAGAACTTTAGAGAAGAACAAAATGTAAAAGATCATGCCATTTCTGATTTTAGAGATAAAAAAACTGAGATCAAGGAGAATAAAATTCTTTCCAAGTTCAGAAAGTAATGAGAATAAGAATTAGAGACTTCTCCTAGACCAAACTTTATTTTTTATATTTTCACTGCACCAGAGAAAAGGTAGAATACTGAATAGCATCTTCCATACCAGCTCCAGCCCACAGTTCTCTACAGCTGAATCTCATGCAGGGAAGGGAAATTCTATTTGAGCTATAAAAAGGACAGAGATGAAGTGCACACAGTGATGGCTTTTTAATAATTGATTCAGTAACCCTTGACTGAAGGCTTGGCCACCGTGAGAATAAAGACATACACTGTTTACAAGACAACGTATCTAGGAAGTTTCAGTTAAAATACATAAATCACAGTCAGGTCTTCCTAGGTACTCAGCATTCAGGGCAGTCTCCTCCATAGCTTAGCTCCTAACCTGAGATGGAAGGCATCCTGAGTGGGAAGTTGGACTTGGTTTTAAATGTGCTCTTCGACCTTTCTAGAACAAAAAATATCTCCCACTCCAGATAACATGCCTTTCCTACTATCCCTTCTCTGTCAAACTCTTAAATTTGAAATCCCGATTTATACTTCCCAATTTTGGGTCTTCCATTTCCCACGTTTTCTTCTGCCTGAGAAATGTGAAATATGTGTAAAATGGTTGTTTCTTAGCATTGCTCTGAGCAAACATAACTTCAGTTAAATCATTACTTATTATTCACATTAAAACACTGCTATCAACACAACATTAAAACATAATCAGACTAGTCAATCTCTTCAGATAAGAATTTTGATCCTAAAAGTTAATGTTTTACTTGTATATTCCTTGGCTATCTCCCCACTCCAATTTTCCTCTATTGTAGAATCTAAACTGTCTTTAAAATTCTGGCTTTATTCCAAGGGAAACTTTCATTAATAGGTAGAGAAAAGAGAACTGTGTTATGAGAGTCACGTGCAAATTTATCTTTACTACTTCATGCACCTGGCTGACGATGAGACACGAATGCTGGAGGCCCGGTGCTGGTTTCAGTGGCCTGGAGAGTGCGGTGATACTGTTTTGATATTTCTGTCATTGCTCTACTTTCTGTAAAGCATTTTAGGGCACTTTAACAGCTGCTTCACTGAATTTCTCTGAAAATGATTATCAGCTCACAGAATTCTAAGGAAGCACAGTCTTTTTAGATTCTGAGAGAGACAGGCATTTAAAAATAAATTGAAAATGTCCATGAAGCTTATAGGAATACATTCATTGGATGTTTTGGTTGTAACTGAATAAAAATTGCCTTGAAATCTGATCCTTCTCTAATTTATGATATATGAAATAGTTTTGTCTATGATACCATCTTGTTATCACAGTAACTAGTTTATATATTTCCAGACTTATTAATAATTCTCTTTCTGAGATTTTATCTATTTAAATCCTTAGTTGACATCTATGCAGGTACAGAGTAAAGAAGCAAAGATGGTCAATTGTGACTTCACCTAACTCCTGATTTATCATTCTAGAAACAGCTTAGTGGAAGAGGAGGAAAACTAGCATAACTTGAGGGATTTTGTGTGTGTGTCACACGTGAACAAATATCATCTAATTATGTTACTGTAAGACTTTACATTAGACTACATACTATTTGGAAGACAGAAAAGCAACAAGGCAGATAGGCAAAGCAGGATGAAAGGAAAGATAGAAGGATGGTCGGTAGGAAGGTGCACTGATTCATAAAAACTAATCAGTTGCCAACACTTGTAATTCAGTTTTTTGTTTATTAAAAAGGATTGGGAGGTTGCCACTATGAATCTGCACTGCCACCAGATAACATTACTGAGGTGTAGCTGCCCTGTTTGAAGTAGGCCAGCTATATTCACTGGTCCCTAATATTTTCCTTTAGCTAGTACAAATTCCTTCATTTAAAGGTTCCTAAAGGCATTCTTCTTTGAGGCTTTTCTACCATTAGTATCACCAAAATGAACACCTGGCATTTGGTTAGAAGGTATAAATGTGTGAATGATGAATAAGAGATGACCTCTTCTAGTCGGAAAACTATTCCCTGGAATTTTAATACATCTACCTAAATAATCAAATGGAGCACAGATCTTCATTTGTAATTTTTGTTATCAGCTAACCAAATATATGGACTTCTGAAGCATACTCTTAAAAGGCAGCATGCAAATGGCATAAAGATGGGGAAATTGGGATTAAAGAACATTGCTGATATTAAATTTGGTATCTGTACAAATGTTTTTCAATATTCCTATTTTCATTATTTATATTAAAAAACAATACTGCTTTCACATCACTACCTCTTTAAATGAATCTTTAATTGATAGACTGCTAGGAAAAATGAAAAAAAATGAAAAGGAGTCTAAGAAACTTGCTGGTCCTCTTTTCATAAACAGCAGATTAGACTTTGCAGTGAGGACACACACAGGCTGGGCGTATTTGAAAGCCACAAGCTTATGACTACAACGATTATTCAGTATTGTTTCAGTGTTTCAAAACAGAGCTTCTCAAATATGAATAAATCACCAAAGCATCTTGTTAAATGCAGACTCTGGTCCAGCAGGTCTGAGGTGAGAACTGAAATTGTGCATTTCTAGCACATTCCCACTGAGCAAGCCAAGCCCCACACTCTGAATAGGGAGATTCTAAATAAAACATCCAGGCAAAGAAAAGGACACTTTACAGCTAATGACAGAAGTCACTGAGGTCTGATCATAGCTGCCACCCAAACCACCTCAGTATCATTTCCTCTCTGTACAAGATGAAGCAGCTGGATTTAGTAGACTACATCTAAGCTGTCTATAAAGACTCCTAGATTTAGATAGTCCTGGCAAAGGAAACCTTGGGGGAGTTTGTTTTAATCAAAAAATATTTGAGGTTGTTCTGGTGACAGTTACAAAAGACTGAACTTATGGCTTAAGTTCAGAAAATGCATTTAAATATTTAAAAAGTGGGTGCTTTCTTTTGTCCAACTATAACATCATTGCTTCTCAGCCATGTATATGTTTTTAACCAGTTTTGGCTACTTGATAGGGTACTAGTTAGGGCATTGGCACTAGTAATACAGCTATTAGTTTCAATTTTCTCCACCAATATTTCATCAGCGGTAAAATGGACTGAGTCAAGCATCCACCCCTTCACAGAGCATTGGATCCGTAGCCAGAAAGAATGAATGTATTTATTTTAATTATAGACCACCTATTCTAATGAAATGAAGTAACTTTGGGTTTGAAGGACTATTTGACCTTCCAAAATTTTTTAAAATTATGAAACAACTACAACACTTTTCACGTAGAATTTGAAATATGTAAGGATTTACATTTAGCTATGTTCATGACAACAGTGTTAAAAACTGAGTGCCTCTTTAAATGATCATTCAGAGTTGTATTAGACTTGTTGATATGTTGTATCAGTTGCCATGCAGATATCAAAAACAATTTTAAGGAATAATGTTTGAGGTTCATTATGCATTAGATGAAGAAGTCCTAAAAATTATAGGAAATATGATTCTTTTTTATGCAATGATGAGCACAGAGAAATGCCTAGAAGGAAGCACATTGATGTTTTGATGATGATTGGTACAAAAACAGGAAAGTTTCTACAAGAAGCAGCAATAGATTTTGTGATCAGAATCATAAAATCGGTTTGAGCGTAGTCACAAGCACACTTCAGTGAGAACCTCAGATAAGTTATTGCTCCTCTTTTGGGCCAAAGGTTGCTCTTTTGGAATTTAGAGCTGTTTAATAAATGATCTTTATGTCTTTTTTCAGTCTGACATGCTATAACTCCCTATGTTACAGCCACATGTAGCAGAAAACCTTTTTTTTTCCTCTGGCCCCAAAGGATAAGCAGTTATTATGAGTGCAGGTAGGTGGGGACTTTTTGTCTTCAAATTTTCTGTATTGTTGAATGTACTTTAATAATAAAGATATTATTTCTTTGATAATTACAAAGGATAAAACAAAAAAGATAAGATGAAACAGCTAAGGGGCTCAGTGTAAATTTTGTCTCAGAGATTATAGAATCACATATTGTATCTTTAAATTCATTAATAGATTATTGAGCTTAAAATTCAGCCAAAACACTCACACAACTGACAGCCACAATTTGAAATAAAGGGCCCACGTGAAAGAGAACAGACACACTATGAAAAGCAGATAGCTTTCCTAAGAAAACTCTCAGACGCTAAGTCCTTTAGAAGTCACAACCAGCAATATTGCTTGCTGTGTTGCAGGGATGAGGCTTGTCTGAGATTGTATGTCTCATCCAATGCACTAAATACAATAGAAATATCTATGCAATTAAAATTTGCTTCATGGTAATAAGAGTTAAGGAAATCAGTTTACTTCAATCAACACCCAAACAGCACAAAACCTGTCTTCAACTTTTGGCTTGGTGTTTAAAATAAATGTGCTAAATCCTATTTGCCATGAGTTCTGTAAGATACAGAGGACAAAATTTCCTTCCTTTCCTCCTGCCCAGATCCTTCTCCTGGAACCTGTCAGTTCTTCAGCTGCCACTGAGACTTTCCTCAAAGTGCTTTTCAAATAGTATTGAAATGTGGCAGCAGTGGCCCAGAAGCCTGGGAAAAATATTTGCGTGTCTCAGGCTCCCAGCTCCACCTGCTCCTGGGCAAGGCAAGGCAGGGAAGTGGAGCCCCTGCCCAAAAGCCAACCAGACCCTTTCCGTGAGAAAGAACAATTTTCTATTCACACCACATAATATCACTCCCATCACTGCTAAGGGTCACCAAACTTCGCCTTCCTCTTGGACACGGGGGACACTCACCTCTCAGCATCTACTTGGGCCCTGATACTGACAGAGTAGCTGGGTCTGATGAGTAAGCACATGGCACTGTTTCCTGTAGTCAAGGCCTTTGATGCCACTGAACAGGAAAGCAAGATGTATCTGAAACCTAAACAGAGAAGCAAAGGGATTAAGATTAAGGTTTCTACATTACTTTGTCACTGGAAAATGAGTTGGTGGGGGATGAGGAGAAAATCGCCTCATACCAGCTCATTTCTTAATTTGGTGGAAAATAAATTAAATTTGGTAGAAATTAAAAGACTTGTTTTGCTACATTTTTCAAGGTGAGGTAATTATGTTATTGCTACATGGAATTTAAAAATGAAATAGTATGCTTGGGGAATTTTTTACTCTGACTAGAAGTTGCTTCAAAGTATACGAAGTTTGACCTAGAGTGTCATGGTGGACATAGTACTTATCAGGAATTAGAAAGAAAGACAGACATGGAAGCTATTGGTCAGGAGTATTGCCAATTTTTCTCCTTAGTGAACACCTATAAGTGCAATATGACTAATTTAGATCACAGTATCATTACTAAGGACACTGATAAAATAATCTGTCTAATGCGTTCATCTTTGAGTTACTGATAACTTTAAAAATGCCAAAGAATATCCTTAAAGCAATGCTGCATTAACTTGGTAAATATGGTACACCTCAAACAAATGCACAGCTAAAGATGTCTAGTAATTAAAGTTTGACTCATATGATCAATGGTAATGACACTGTCTTTTTTTTAGGCTTCACTTTAATATCTTCTGTCTGATATGAATGTTACCATTTTAGCTTTACAGTAATTGACTTTTACCTGATAAAACTATCTCTATTCCATGACTTTTAAATGCTTTGAGTTACTATGTTTAAAGTCTGATACTTGTAGAGTATAGCTGGTATTTGGGTCAAGGATATAGCTCAATGGCATAGCACCTGCCTGGGAAGCATGAGGACCTGAGTTCAATTCCCGATTAAAAAAAAAAAATCAGGAGTATATCAGGATTTTGTATTTTTATGTAATCTGGTAGTCTTTGATCTCAGAACAAATAGTTCATTCTCCTCTTTTGTGATCATTCATATAGATTTATTTCAATTGCTTTTTGTGCTGTTTTCTGTTGATTACACTTTCTCTTTAGCATTTTCTTTCCTGATGTCTATACTGAAATGATTAGTTTTATTTCCCTCCACTTGTTAGAAACCCAACATTTTATTTCTGCAACTACCTCTAAATTTGTATACCAAACAAAATCTAAAGAAAATTATTATCTCTGCCTTATATAAAATAATGCAAAGACTGGAAAATATTATTTCCATCTTTCCAGTACCCCATGCTACTATAACAGGTTGTATATTTTAAAAAATCAAAAATAGTTCCTATTACTATGGCTTCACCAACAAAAGTGGTTGTTTAGATTTCTCATTATGTTTATCAATTTGCTATTTTCCTCCCACAACCTAGACCTTTGTTCTTGATTCAATTTTTTTGTCATTCAAGTATACCCTTTAGTAGTTTTTTCTGCAACAATCTGTGAGTAGTTAATTAGACACCTTATTTATCTGAATAGATTTTTAATTCATGCTTATTTAAATTATACTTAATTGTGCTCAGCACTTACAATATACACATTCATTCTCTCTGTGTGTATCTCTGTATGTCTCTGTCTCGTCATCTACTCTTACTGATAAGAAACTTGCAGGCTGTGATTCCTTCCCAAGTGCTACTATCCCTTCCTCATCCCTTCTATATTTGATTGTCTGCATTCTCATCAGGAGAAGTCAGTGTGAATTATTTTTGTATATCCTGACTGGAACTGAAAGAGTTTTCCTTTATCACGAATTCTTTTGTCCTATCTGTATGTTAAATGATTTGATCAGGGACTCTTACTTTATCAGGTTTATTCTTGTGGACAGCTCAAAGTGTCAAACTATTTAATCAGATTTGTTATGAACAACTACAGCCCCAACCCCTCCTCCATTTCTTCCTCCCCAGAAATAACCACTCTGATCTTCTTCATTTATTTACAGGAAGGGGACTTTACTTCATGTCTACAAAAACAAGACTGTACTACAAGATGATATTTCATTTTTAGGCATTATCTATTCCCTCTCCACTATGGAAACAGCTCCTTTTCCTTTCATATATGAGCACTAATTTAAATTCATTTGTTAATAAGGTCCTTGTCCACTCTTTTGTGCATTCTTTTTTTGTTTGTTTGTTTTTATGCTTTCTTTTTTCAACATTTATCTTATGATAGTTGGCTGCTCAGACCTTAGTTTTGTTTTTATATGCTTTGATTGGCTATTTACCATTTCCATATTTAACTTTTCCCTTCTATGGGAAATTTTCTTCACTTTACCCTTTACAGAGCAATATAAATGGGCAAAATTCAAGTGATCCCCAGTTCAGTATCTTTGTCTAACTTCTTGGGGTGCTCATATTTTCCTTGGAAGGCCTTTTAAAAGTATTACCTAGAAGGTTAAGACTTGACTCATAGAGTTCTGGAAACTCAGTGCAGGGCAAGGTTTGGGAGTCTCTACATTTAGTAGGTACATGTTTATCCAATTTCTATTTATATTACCTTTCATTTTAAGTGTATCCTTTAGTAGTTTTTTCAGCAAGGATCTGCAAGTTTAATTACACATCTTATTTATCTGAATAGATTTTTAATTCATGGTCGTTTAAATTATACTTACTTTTGCTCGACTCTTACAATATACACATTCATTCTCTGTCTATCTCTGCTCGCTATGTCTCGTCACCTTACTGACAAGAAACTACCAGGCTACGATTCCTTTACAAGTGCTACTATCACCTTCCCATCTATGTCTAGAGTCCCCAGTCTAGCACGCTTACAAATGCAGACACACACAAATACGTACATGTACCTTTGCCAGTCTGCTAGTTATTCTTCCAAGTAAATTAAACATCATTTTCATTAGAATGTCTTCCATGATCTCTCAAACAAACACAGACTGAGACATCTCACTGACCCAGGGTTTCCGTGTACCTTATGAGACATCCTCCTGCCTCTGTGATCACCTTGTTAGACATCTATCTTTCTCCAGAACCAGCAGGACCCATCTTGGGCCTCTTGGTTTAGGGCACAGTTTCTGGCATTCAATAAGGTTAATAGATTCATAAATTATTCTTTCCAATAGCATCTCAGTTAAGGGAGCTGCTTTTACATACAGGAGTCACACAGGAGCTGGGAAAAGCACCTCAATTAACGTCTACTGTCACAAGCCTTTGGCGTGAATAGGAACACACCTTGGGCTGTGCAAGTTGCCGACAAATGGCAGAAGCCTCAGCAAGTCTTTCCTCTCACATGTCTCTGGGTTTTCTAGATGTTCTTCTTATTAGAAATATGCAAATTATGGAAGTATTAAGGAAATTAAGGAAGTATTCAACCTACTTTTTTACAGTAAAATGAAAATCCATGAAAATGTTACTATTGCCTCACAATATGATGGTGTCTGACACATACAAGAGTAAAAATAGTTACTAAGAAAAACCAAGGCATAAGAAAAATTAGGCAAGAAATACTCAAAAAAAAGAACACATCTTATTTACTTATTTTAAAGGGAAGTGATGCAGAGGTGATGAAGAGGTAGAGTGAGGTATGAGTAGAGAAGGAAAAGTGGGGGTAACTTATTTTTATACCTGCCTTAATTGTGACAGGCAGGATCTTTTAGAATCTGAACAAACTTGAAGTGGGCACATGAATACAAATGACACCCAGACACTTAGAATGAATGAAGCCAATGTTCTACATAAAGTAGAATTTTAAGATCAGAATGTGAGTTCAGCCTCCTCCTCAAGGTATAGATATCATCTATGACTGTCTCCACAGGAAGTCATGTAGGTTCCAAGAAACACCCCCAAGGTCAAAGCCCTGGCATTTCCTTGGATCTCATCGTTTCTGGGTAAGCTCTGATCCCTCGGGTCACAGGTCACTCACACTAACTTTGTCTACTATCCCTGGTTTTGCTTGACTGTCACAGAACCCTAAAAACTTGACGATGTTTAGATGACTTAAATATGCTCTCTTTAACTCTTCAGCATGATCTATGATTAAAGAGTTGCCCCTATTTTTAAGGGAAAGAGACTGAGTCACAGAAACTTCGGAAATATTACTAAGGACTTACAGCCAATTATCAGAGAGCAGCCAATAGTCCAGAGGCAATATTGTGAAGTGCTTAAGAACTTGAACTTCAAATGACTGCCTGACTCAAATCCCAGCTCCAACACAAACTAGCCATGTGACCTTAGGAGCAGTTCAACCTCTCTAGATCTACTTTCTAAGGTTGGTAGGAGGATTAATGAATGAACATATGTAAAGCATTTGGAACAGTGCCTGGTACTTAGTGAAAATTAAAGAAGGGTTTATTCAATATATAAAAGAAAGGTAGAACTGTGAATCAAAGCCAGGTTGGTAGGTATCTAATGCAGACACCCTTACCTTGGATGCTTCAATATGTCAATCTCTCAAATGTTTAAAAGTCTTACTATGTCTGTGAAGATTTTCTTTTCTCCACATTTACCACCTTCCCCAATGGTCCTTAATATTACCCGGGTTACAAAATATTGTCTGTCATTCTGGACTTTTGACTGAAAGAGTGAGACACAAAATTCCCACATTATTTCAGTAGATTATCGTAAAGTGATTGCCTCCATACCTTTAAGCAAGATTGCTCTTCTAATGCAGCGCTTTCTAAAGCAAGTTTCCAGGAGCACAGCACCACCTGGAAACTGTTGGAGATATAAATTCTCCAGGTCCACTTCAAGTTTACTGAATCAGAAACCCTGGGATGTGGCCCAGTAACTAGCATTTTAACAAGCTCTCCAGGTGATTATGATGCTGCTCAAGTTTCAGAAATACAGCTTTCATAGAACCTAAAACTAAAATAGTGGTTGAGGTGCCCCCATTGTTTATTAAACTGATGATTAGTAGTCTTAGAATTTGGGCCTTGGAAGTTTCTGTGACTCAGTCTCTTTCCCTTAAAAATAGGGGCAACTCTTTAATCATAGATCATGCTGAAGAGTTAAAGAGAGCATATTTAAGTCATCTAAACACCGTCAGGTTTTTAGGCTTCTGTGACAGTCAAGCAAAACCAGGG